GAAAGGGGTTTCAGTTGCAAGGATTGTAAAGCCTGGCAGCTTGAAGGTAGAATGGTAAAGGAAGTGGAAGACCGGCTGCCAGAATAAGCAAATGGTTAAAGGGTCTCTTCTCACATTTATTATCAGACTACTTCTGACAAACCAAAGCGTCCGATCTCTGCCATGTTCATTTTCTCGGAAGAGAAGCGCAAGAAGATGCAGGAGGAGGAGCCAGAGCTGTCGGAGAGCGAACTGACAAGAAAATTGGCCAGGATGTGGACTGAGCTGTCTGAGAAGAAAAAGGTAAAAATTATTTGGCTGATAGCTACCATATGAGGATCTAGGCAAGGGCAGGCTACAGTATAATATTTACCAGTCTAATATTTGTACTGAGACTGGAATACAGGCCATTAAGTACTTGGACGGTGAAAGCGTTTAGTCAGTACAGTAATGAAAGAACAAAATGTTTTTGAGTTGAGAGTGTTAGTTATTTCTAGATTTTGAAATTCATGGCCCTGGTTTTTAAAAGGCAATGGGTGCACGTTGACCTTTTGGAAGGCAGAATCCACTGGTATTTTGGACACACTGCTTGAATGGATTGAAGTAGCACAGTTGCATTTGGAGCCCTTTAAATGGTGTTTGAACCAAAAGTTCTGTTATCTGAATGTGGAGTTGGTTAATTCCATAATTTTTGCAGCCTGTTCCAAAACTAATGCTTTACATTTGTGATCTGTAGTTCAGACCTAAATTTGTAGCATCAGCAAATTGTCAACTTTAGACCACACTACCATCAGTGGTGAACTGAAAATCATCTTCCCGTGTTTTAATCAAAATCAGAATCTTAGCTCTGGAATGAAGGAAGTATCTCTTGCAATTCTGTTCCATTCTTCCTGACCAACTTTAAAAGGAAGACTGCAGCTTTAATCTCGAGTATCTCAAAAATAAACTGGTGCATAGGCATTTGAAGACATCAGAGAGCCATTCTCAATGAATTACTTTCTCTGTGTGGACAGTTTCCATATCCTTCCTTACCAGGGAAGATAAGTGTTCAATGCATCAGCCTTGGGGAGGACAGCAGTTATATTCCTGTATAGGAATTGAAATACTATGATGTTTTGTTCTTCCTCTATTTTCCTCTTCTATCCCGTCTCTCTGTTCGGCTCTCTCAATCATTTGCAAATTTGCCTGAGCACCCTTTGATGATTGCTCTTCATGCTACACTGTCTTCAGCCTTCACCTGAGGAGTCATCATGCCCAAACAGTGGGAATTGTATGTTCTTCCATTACTTAAAAAGCTTAGGCTTTGCAACACTTTGTATTCCTGCCTGTTGTGTGATATTGCATAAACTCTTAGCATATGTTGTGACATGACTGTAAATCAGGTTTAGTTTACAGTTTTTGACTATGTGCAGTTAACAAGGATTATGAAACATCCAAGTGTTCAGGGTTTTGTTTTAGAGAAACAGTACTTTTATTTCATCCGAGCTGATATTGGCCAAAACCATAATTGGCCTTGGAGGTATTCTGCAGCTCGCAGCTTAGTGTCTGGTTCCTGCGGTAGGTCAGTGGAGTGAGTGTAATGTGCGCTAAGGTTTGACTGATCATGATAAGATTCTGCATTCGCTAATGTGAAGCATTGCACTGCACTCTGTGTCTGTGACGTGGAGCAGGAAATATTAAATTTTGGTTTCTGATATATTTCCAGCTATCCTTTCTGTAAATGCTTATATAGAAATTGAAATGCTAGGGTGCTGTGAAGACCACCTTACAGCTTTATGACTTATTCTGACACCATCTATCATTCAACACCCCCTGACCTAAAATGTTTGCGAGAGCTGTGAGAGGATAATTTTTTTTATTGGTTGCTGGCCTTTCCCTATATGATGGGGAAGTGAAAGATTTGCTTCTTGTGGAGCCATGGTGATGAGCAAAATTTCTGTTAAGCGGCCCATTCAGCTGCCTTCATTTTTGTTACAATATCTTCTCTATAGATTGAGGTTACCACCATAGTCAATGGAAGCCATTAACTGAAGTCTGTCATCAAAGTTTTGAGACAATACCTGGAATAGAAAGCCATTCAGTCAGCGGCTTGTGATTTGAAGCATCTTTTTGAAGTGCTTGATTGCATTTGATCTTTTTCTGCTGATGGGATGATTCTTACTCCTGAAGCTGTTACACGGGTTTCATTTCTTGTGGAAGTGAGAGACATTTCTGACGTGGTTCCATGTTGTGTCTGTCTCTGTAACCAGACAGCCGTACACAGGTAGATGAGCATTTTGAATTCTAACCTACCAAAGAGCATTCGGTGGTAATGTGGCTAAAGAGTAGATTGTGCAAAAATCCTTCAATCTCATCTGCCATGCAGCAGCCTTGATGGAAGTTCAGTTTACCCCAAGTGATGGGTGTATAGGTGCTTTTATGCTTGAAGCTGGTATTAAAATTAATCCTGCATATCTTTTTCTCCCACCTCTCTCCCAACATCTGCTGACACAATAAAAGGAGGAGAATGGTGATTTTTAGTTGTGAGATTGTTTATTCGGATCTTTAGCATGGTAATTCTCAATGCTGTCTGCACTTAAACCTCTACCCTGCCTGGCTGTTTTGGTGGTTCAGTTTGACATGTTTTCAAAAATACTATGACTCAACCAGGCCTCATCACTTAGTCATACCTTTCCAAGTCTTGTTTCTAGTCGTCAAGTTATAAGTATTGTCTAAATCTTGCAGTAATGACCATACCTCGCTTTTGAAGAATACGTTAAAAGTTTTCACTTCACTTCGTTTGAGTCAAAGGCTATATTTGTGTATTCTGGAAAGAATTGGTGCAATGGTGGAGTCTAAGCTTCTATCTATATACATGGTATTCTTTTGCCAAAGGCATTGTAGGAACATAGAATTCTTCATTAGAAGGACTATTTGAATACTTATTTGTGGAGATTGAATGTTATTTGAAGAAATAGGACCATATTGCAGTCACAACTTTAACCTTCCAGCAGATGGTAGCTCTGATCTAACAGTAGATTGCGTTGTATTCGGTGGCCTGGTTGGGTTGTTTTAATGGAAGGCGTTGTATTTTGAAGGATCTAAAATGATGTTTTTGCTGCAACAGGAGAAGTATCGGCGCATGGAAGCAGCGGCAAAGGCCGAATCGGAACAGAAAAAACAGGGCTATGGAAAAGACGGAAAAGGCTCTGCTATCCGAGGAAAGCTGCCTGAGCCGCCCAAGACTGCAGAAGAGATCTGGCAGCAGAATGTGATTGGAGATTATCTGGCCAAGTACAGGGTATGCACTGGGGTAGTTGAAAGAGAGGAAATGACCACTTGGAATGGAGGAGATGAGATAGGATAAGATTTAGGCTGCCTGCCAAGCTCCACAAGGATAGGATTGCGAGAATTGCAGATATTCTCTCAATGGCATGAGATATTCAGAGTGCTTGCCTTTCAAATGGTTCAGTTTTTGGTTGCACATCTGTCCTCCAACATGTAAGAATTTTTTTTGCTATTGTGAATACTGACTTCAAATATTAAAGTGGCTGCATTAGCTTTGCTTGATGTGTTCCATCTGTTTTTTTTGTACACCCAGAGGAGATCAATCCACAGCAGTGTGTTCTATCCTGTGGTTTTTTTTTTGTCTTCCTCTTTCTCCTCTTCCCTGCATCAAGCGCCACGTGTTATGCAAAATTGTTCAGAAATTCAAGCTCTAGAGCTTCAGCTTTTTCACTAACACATCAAAACTGATTTCTGTAACTTTACACAATACTTAAGGATTAATGAGCACCGTATAAGTTCTGTGCTAAGTGGATTGTACCCTTTGATTATGGTGACTTTGTTTATTCTTGCTGTCATCTTAACTTCCAAATGAAAACTGACAAAGTTTTTAAATTTGCTTTTTAAGGTTTGGCAGCTGATAAGCAAAGTTTTTGTTTTCATTTCTGAAACAATACCTTGTTCAACCTTCGGGTATAAATCTCTACCGTCAAATGGGGGAAAATCCCTTTTCAGGTGCAGTGTTTTTTTTTGCTAGGCCAGTGTAACCTTTGTTTATCCACATTCCTCCTCAGCACCAGAATGTACTCCTACCTGGCTTGTTGTTTCCTGTCATCTACATAAGTTCCAATGATTGAAGCTTTTCCTGACTACTAAAGCAATTAATTTGGCCTGGGCAAGAGTGTTTCTTGAATTCATGTCCAATAACCAGCATTGCAGACTATTTTCTGTAAAATGTTTCAACAGGTCTTGAATTCTTCAACAGCCTGTCAATATGTTTAAACACATTCCCAAACTCAGCAATGTGAACGACTAAGTGGTTATGTGGAGATTTTTAGGGTCACAATGACCACCTTTGAATGTTCGTGTGAAGTGTCTTCTAATTCTGGTTCTTAGTGTTGTCAATAGCTAGCTGTAGATCTGCAATGACCCAGGAAACTGGAAACAATGGTTACAATTCCGCATCTGTTCAAAATGTGCTTTCGACCTGAAAAAGCGCACTGATCACGGGAAGGGCTGAAGAACATGTCATTGTATTCACATTCTGCCATGAATTGATTGTGGAGTAACAACAGCCTGGGATTGGCTGACAGTTTTGCCTTTAATATAAAAGCACCCACAGGACTCCTGTGAGTTTCTGAAGGGACCTGAGCACCTGCCATGGTTTTCTTAAAATAATCTGATTCAATGATCTGCGTCAGACCTATAAATTGTAGCCTGCTGAACTGCTAACGCAATGTGCTTTGTTTAGTTAACTGAACCCAGCGTTTGATTATATTGTAACATAACTCTAGCAAGTACTTCATCCATCTTCTGTAGTGCCAGCATTTTGTAAAAAGCTGTATTATTTCCCTGATGTTTATATGAAGTTCTATCTTAGGAATTATTGGATTAATTTCCATTTCCAGCAGTGGTATGATGTTTTGCAAGAAAATTTCACTTGATGTAATACTGGGCAAGTCATATTTCAAAGTGAAGCCTGGCTTGATAGACTATAAGTTTTTGATTTTGCAATTTGATTACTGTGGTGGTCAGTCGATGAATTTATTTGCAATAGAATGCTTTTAAGACCATTTGAAAGATTTTATCATAAATTGCAAATGAAAAATTCAGTCTTTTCCCAGAAATGTTCTTTAGAGATACAACCCCAGTGAAGTGCCACTCCTGTCTTCACTTTAAAACATCTTAGTTGACTGAATGAGATCTCAAGTATTTCATTTCAGCAACTTTCTGCATGTTCAGCAGACGTGATTCTGTTTGTCTCTAGACACATACAGACAGGATAGTTCATTGAATTTTCTGCCTTTGAATACTTTGAGGCTGCTAGAATGGATTAAGACATCTTTTCAGCTCTGTTGACCTGGAGACTGTCAGAAACTAAACTGCCCTTCTGGTTTAGGTCTTGCCTTCCAAACTCAACTTGAGTTTGTTTTATTACCTACAGGTTAACAATAAGCAGCAGTTATCTGACCGTGTAGATTGTTCAGTCATATAACTTAAGTTACATGGTGCTGCTTTGATGTAAATTGCATTTTGGTTATTTTTTCAAAGGTTGTTAATCATAAATCAAATTGTAGCAAACCCAATCTCTGCCATTTTGTTTTGTGTGCGCGCTGCTCTGGTCATGCTCATCTGAGTAGGGACAGTAAATGAAATGTGGGTTACGGTATCTATTTGTGACGTCTCTAGTTCTTAGATTCTTGGCTACATACTAGGTTTGCGCCCTATATCAGATCTACTTAGATATTCAAAGGTGAATAATCACAGCCTAGCCTGAAGCTGATCTCTTGATTTTTAACGTTCCATTTACTGTCATGATGAGCTAGACTTGTGGAATTTGCGTCAACGACCTACATACCAATGAACATTGTTTGGCAGAAGCCAAAGCTTTTTTCCTTCCTTAAATCCGCTTTTGACTCCGACAAACTGTTCAATCTGAAGAACAATACTTCAATTTGGACCCACACGTTTGTAACATGTTGCTTACAAACGAGGTTTCACGTTTCATAAAAGTTTTTTTTCCACCACAGTCACCAGGTGAACCAGCGTCCTGAAAGACTTGTGACCAGAGACTGAAAACGATTGATTTCTTTACTAGTATATCAGATGCTTAAGTCTGATTTCTTGTTTTCCTCTACAGCTGTTCTTGCAATTGGAACTGTTCAGCCTGCAGACCAGGACATTGGATGTCATCAATATGACGTGCATGATCGCACATCTTTGTGTCTGACCTACTCAGCATTTGTATGATCGACGATGCTGCCTTCTGTGCACTTTGCATAGTTGCAGTCCCTTCCAGCCTCAGCCAATGCTCTTGAGGGTTAATGTATCACCCTCATTTTTTTTATTTTTGATTGGCACACCAGTTATGCCCAATAAATTCTTTTGGGATTTGTTTAATCTGTACTCCAGAGAACTGATGGAGGTGGAGCATTGCACACATGTTTAGTAGCGCACGCTGTCAGATTGATTATAATCTGAATGAGTCTTGACATTGCAGAAATGCTGGGCTTCACGGTGTGTGTTTTTTTTTTGTTTTTTTTTAGAATGACCGCAGTAAGGCTGTCAGAGCGATGGAGGCTACTTGGAGAGAAATGGAGAAAAAGGAGAAATTAATGTGGATTAAAAAAGCAGCTGAGGATCAAAAGCGATATGAGGTACTCTCGTCTCTGTTCCTTTTAACAGCAAGTTCAGTACCAGAAGACTTGCTCTTGACTGACCTAAGATTCGAACTTTTTGCCATTCAACAACCAGTTTAGTAGCAAGTTGCTAACTTGGATGCTTGTGTTTCTGCAAATAAGTACATTGTGCCACGTTCAGTGAAGCAAATATGAAGTGCCCCTGCTCTACAGTATCACCTCTTGTATACTCAGTTCAAAAAAAGCACTTCACCATAGGCTGAAAGTTTAACATTGGGGCGCTCTTAAGCATCGTGAATGAAATCCGATGGAGCTGTCTCAGTCCAGTACCTAATGCTTTAAAGTGTGCAATGGACAGATGCTACTAAAATAGGAGCTTCAATTCGTTGGGTCATGAAGAGTTTTACTCTGCAACTGATCGGCAACCTCACTTAACTCGAACACTTGATGCAGACAGTAGTGAAGAAATGCTCTGGATGGTTTGGTAACAGTTTTCCAAAGGAAAGCTAGCTTATCAACGATTTTGTGTAAGAAGCATTTCAGTTCTGGTATTACACGTAGGATAAGGAGAAAAAGAATACTCTTCTTAATTGAGTTCATTTATTAACTGAAGTTAAGGCAGTAGAAGGTGCCAAAATAATAATCAAAAGAGTTGCTCCAATGAACTGTGCAGCAGAGTAAAAGGTCTGTCTGTCTGAGGACCCTCAATTGAGAGGCGTGACACCATCAGCATGAGTGAACATCAAGGCAGACGAATGGAGTGCCATTTGTATTCAATGTCAAGTGACAGTGTTCATTTAGAGGTTGCATTTCAATTGGCTCATTAAGATACTATTGACTTGGAACTATTCATTTTTTTAACGATTATGGTTGAGACTTGCCTGTGTGTTTTTATGTGTGTTTCAAGTATCATTTGTCTATATTCTTGTCCGTATGTTTGCAATCTAGCGGCAAATTCAAGGAGGGAGAAAATGTGAAATCATGCTTTGGAGCCTGGTCCTACTTTTCCACACTGTCTTCATCCTAGAGCAGTACTGGCAGCATTTGGTTGGTTCCACAAAGTCGTGTTGTCAGTTAAAGGAGATGTCTACTCTGTATCAGCCACAGGACTGAGATTATAGGGACATAATGTGGGTCGGTTTATTTTTAGTTGGAGCAATGTGCCATTGCAATATTGTATTATGCAGAAGTGGAGCAGGCTACAAGGGAAGCATGTTAAAAATATTTTTGACTAAATTGCCACTAATACTGTTTTAGTTTTATATTGCTGTCAATCAAAATAATAACCAACATCTAAGAAACACCAATGCTTGACTCAGTGATGTCAGACCAGCCAATGAGGACTGGGAGAGGTGGACTCTTTTGTGATTTCACATGAAATGAAATCTAGCGGTGTTAATTTTCCTTTGCCACTTGGAAAGAAAAATGTGATCGCACGATATATTGCTCGACCTTTATAATATCTTGGTACTGCTACTAATCTGCATTTCTCCTTGCAGTTAACTTGTAAGAAGCTAATACACATCTAATATATTACAAGTTTAGTGGTGTCAAATAATATGCTCAATGATGTGAAGAGCATTTCTGTCCTGAAGATGGTGTCAAAGATGTATTTGAGTGAGATTAATCCATATAACACAATAGATGGTAATGGCCATCATGCCACTATATTTTGGATACAAAACTTACTTGTCCCGTTGGTTTCTCACTAGGGTTAATTTCATACACATTTCAATAACAACAATCTGCATTCTTCTATCCTTCATAATATAACACCAAAAGAGTGATTGGAGCAGCATCCCTAACTATTTGTCTATGTTACTCAGGCAACAAGTTTGACTGGTCTGGGCAGCTGATGCATTGTACAAATACAAGAAAGGTGTCTTTTGGCTTAAGCCTCATTAACAAAGTGAGGGTAAATTTCCTGCATGTACTGCTGAATGCATCATGTGGAAATGTCCTCCATACTGGGATATCTTGCCTGTCTAGGGGTCGCAATTGATTGAAAATGGGAGTACGTTTTTTTAGCTGTAGCACTGAGAGTTCTGGTCGCTCGGTTATAGGAAGGATATTAAACTGGAGAGGGTTCAGAAGAGATTTACCAGGATGTTGCCAGGTATGGAAGGTTTGAGTTATAAGGAAAGGTTGGATAAGCTGAAACTTCTTTTCACTGGAGTGTACAAGGATGAGGGGTGATGTTGTAGAGGTTCAGAAAATCATAGATCACGGATAAGGTGAATAGCAAGGGTCTTTACCCTGGGGTGGGAGAGTTCAAAACTAGGGAGCATATCTTTAAGGTGAGGGGGAAAGATTTAAAAAAAGACATGAGGGGCAAATTTTTTACACAGGATGGTTCACGTGTGGAGTGAACTTCCTGAGGAAGTGGTGGGTGTGGGTAAAATTAGAACATTTGGAAGACATTTGGCTAAGTACATGAATAGGAAAGATTTGAAGGGATATGGGCCAGGAGCAGGCAGATGGGACTAGTTTAGTTGGGATTATGTTCGGCATAGATTGGTTGGATTGAAGGGTGTGTTTCCATGCTGTATGACTCTGTGCAAATTTGGATTAGAACAGGATTGGCCCTCAAGAAGCCCTCCATAGCAGACCACTTATCTACCGTCTACATCCCACCATAGGGTTGGATGGCAGTTTAAAAGTGATTGCAAGAACTATCACATCTATGCCCAAGTTCCTGTTTTTACGCACTTTTTGAGGCTCTTGTTTGATAATCATCAGCAGCAAAAGCACTTGGATTGTATTTCCCATTTTTACGTTTCTCCCCTATCCCTTACCCAAACTTACTCGAGCCAATGTTTCAGAATTGCTGCTGTGCCATTTCTTTTACTGCACCCAGATATTGTTGTGCTGTGGGAAAAGATGTTTTGAGCAATGGCCAAAACATTTTAAAAAAGTGAAGTGCTCACTGTCTATTACTTTTACTACTGATGCCTTCTGTTTTATAAATTTATTATTTTGCATTTCAGAAAGAATTAAGTGAAATCCGAACACCAGCAACAAACACAAACAAGAAAATGAAATTTGAAGGGGAACCAAAAAAGCCACCCATGTATGTACCTTCTTTTTAGTATCCAAATGTTTACAATGATTGGGTAAGAATTAGACTTAAACCCTGAAATATCTTCCAACTTCTTGTGGCATGCTTCTAATTAACTCAATTACAATGATAAATTCTAAACTTTGTTGGATAGTTGTATTCTTTACAAACAAACATTGTAATAGAGTAGAATCAGAAGTGGCATGTGGGAGGGTTGTTTTATGGTCAGAATGAGAGTAAGCGGGGAATTAGGGGCATTGCTGAAGGGATTAGTTGGTAGTGTGATTTAGCAAATTCTTTTCCTGCATCACTTGGGAGCCTCAAAGTTTTGCCGATCACTTTACCAATTCTGCTTTAAATGCTGATGGATTTAAATAAAGTTTCAGAGAAAGCGGTATTATATATTTTGCAGAAATTCTGATGTATGTGGTAACTGATTTAAACTATTGCTTCACTGATTTATCAATGTGCGATGGAAGAATGACAGAAGGGTTTCACAAAACGCTCTTCTGCTTGCCAAGATATAATTTATCTAAAATGCTCACCCTTATGAGTTTATATTGGTCAGTTGTGCTGAGGAAGGTTTACAATGACTGCCATTTCAGGAATGGTTACCAGAAATTTTCTCAGGAACTCCTCACAGGTGGTGAGCTGAACCATCTGAATCTGAAGGATCGGATGGTAGAGATTGGGAAAAGATGGCGGAAAGTCACCCAGGCTCAGAAGGACCGTTATAAGAAGATGGCGGAAGAACAGCAAAGCCAATACAAAATCAACCTGGAAGCCTGGCTTAAGGTAGGTAGCCTGCACTATTGATTGAAAGTAGGAGGCAGTTATAGTTGAAGAGTTTGGTTCCATTACCAGTTGAGGATTTGTCTTTCACCAGTCTGTGAATGGGCTTCTGACTGACTAGATTTGAGGTGAACTGGCTTCTACATTCAGTCATTGACCTGATGGCAGGCGTTAGTTATCTCCATTTGGCCAGCCTTTGGTTATCTTCTTTTACCGTTTGTTAACCCAATGTTATACTGAATTCAAAATAAAAATACTGCTGGAAAAACTCAACAGGTCTGGCAGCATCTGGGGTGTGGGAGCGTTAGTGATGGGCACTTCCATGGACAGCCCCAGGTTCCCATGATCTTATGGTATTAGCTAGATATAGTAATTGCTCGGACTTGAGATCTTCCCATGCATCCTATTCATTCGCATTCCAAAAGTTTAATGGCTATACTCCTTCGGGTCTTTCTCGGGCTTCTTTATCTGTAAGGACAGCTTGAATTCTATAGCCCATTGTGTTTTGGTGCTCTCTTTTACCACATTCAGTTACTCCTCCTTTCCCCACTGTCCCAATTATGTAAAAATAAAAAGTTAGTTTTAACTAATTGCTATAAGGTTAACTTCTGTTATGAAGGTAATTATAATGTGTAACATTATACAACTACTTCTACTGTCAGCATTTTGTAATTTATGGGTTGTGATCGATCTATCTCGTTTAGGGCATAAGAGAAGGTGCCCTCTGAGGATAGTCAATCTTTACATCTAAGCTTTAATGTTGGTTTTTTTTTTTTTTTAAGGCTTGTGCTACACACTGGTTATGTATTGAAACCAACTTCTATGATTATAGTATTTTTAGCTAGAAGCTATTTAATATTGCTGGTAGCTTCAAAGAGGCAATTACTATGAAAAAAATTTAGCTGTTATCCTTGCAGCTGCTTGAGGACCTAATCTAGCACCTGACATTATTCATTCACTGGGACAGTCACTCTTTCATTAATAAAGCTGGAATTGGTCATTTATCTGTCCTAAGGCATCCTTTTGTCAGAACTGTCTCGGATGGGAATATACAGCATTCTTTTACTGACCTTCCAGCAGCTCTGTTCAAAGTTACCATTGTATTTCACTGTGAGCAGGCTGCTCAGTTTTGCTTAGCTTCTGTCTGCTATCTTGTAAACAGGTACGGGCAGCTTACATGGCAAGGTACAGATCACCCGTACATGGGGTAAGAAAAACAGTGAATGTTTCCGAGTCTGGAACGTTTCTTCAGAGCTCCAATAGCGTTCATTTTGTCTTTGCCATTGCTACTGCCATGCCATGCCGTGCCTCACCTGAGGCTGTCCCTCACTGACTCATCCTAATGCACCTTCTAAGAGTTTTTCTCATTTGGGCGATCTTTCCTATAAGAATTCTCCAAAGTATGCAAGTCTCCTGACTTTCAGTGACCAATATTGAACCACATCCTAATGTGAGATGGTCGGTGTATCATCAAGCCTGACATAATCTCTTGTGGTTCTAGTTAAACATTCAGCTTTTTTCCACATTGAAAGAAATGTATCCACCACAGTCATTAATTTTGAAAAGTTTATCTGTGCTGTTTTCATTCTTTAAATATACAGTATTTCAAAATGCAGTGGTGACAAATGTTTGCTGTTCAGCTGTCAATATTTCAAACCGTTCTGAATCTTTCTGCCAAACCTTAACTATGGTGTCCATCCTTATCTCACTGTTTCATGCCATCTGTAAAAGTGTTGAGCTTACAGTTGGTATCTGCATTTTACAGATTTGAAATCTAATCACTGATCCCTGTGATGATCTTGTCAACACATCATCACAAACTCAGTATCCAAGCTGAGCTTTTAATCATTTTGCTCTTAAGTCCACATTTTTTATCATCCTGTTCTATCCTAATTCTTGTGGACTTTGGCAAGTTTTCCGTGTTGTAATCTTTTCTATACAGCTGAAAAGTTTTCTTTTTCTTTGACAGGCAGACAATAGTTTTTTTTTTCCTGCCACCTCGTAACTGCTTGCTGATTATAATCCAACATTTAAGTCAGCACCAATGCATATTGCTTGAAAAGGAACTGTCTGTTAATGGGGATTACATGATCTGAGCTAATGACAGCCTTGCTATTGTAGTTGCTTTGTTTTTTTAATTTGAATTGGACAAGAGCAATATTTAATTATGAACATTATTTTCATAGAGCTTATCGCCTCAAGAGAGAGCCATGTACAAGGAATACACTACAAATGTAAGTCGATTGACCGACTATATTTTGGCAATCATTGTATTCAAAGCTCAGTTAGAAATATACTTTTGCGAGCTCTCGGTATTTTGACTTCACTTAATTTTGAAAGAGAAATATTGTTTCTATTGACTAGCTATTATACACGAGATTACACCACCCTAATGGCCTGTGAACTAATACCTGCTCCACATCTTGACTTAATGACCAAGTTATACTTGAAAATAAAGTACTTGGCTTATAAGTCTGATATTTGAAATGGTAGCTTTTGTTTGTTTTGCTGGGTGATGGTGGTGAATGAGATGGGGTGGTGGTTGCAGGACAATTCTCAATGAAAGCATATGATTGCAGATTTTTAATATTTTGATGCCCTTTCTGTAATGTCTTTGACAGAAACGCAAAAGTACTACAAAAGCAGCTAGTCCAAATCCCAAAATGAAAATTGCATTACAAACACAGAGTGCAAGTGTAAGTATCTATGAAGGTACTGCAGCTTTGATTTGACAAAAGCACCTCGCGTATTCTTGTGGCTGAGCTAATTTGTTCAAGATCCAAGATAGGAAATAGGAAATGTTGCAAACAGGTCAAATGCAGTGCTTTTTTTTCAAAATGGTTACCATGTGCAACAGAGTTTACATCATGACCGTTGGGGGTTATTTAAATCCAGTTTTTTTTTTTTTTTTTTAAATTCAAATCCTACCATCTGCCTTGGCAAGATTTGAATCCAAGTTCCCAGAATATTAGCTGAATTTCTTGATTAATAGTCTAGTGATAATACCACTAAGCCATCGCCTGCCCATGCAGTTTTAAGTGCAGTAGCATCAGTCAGATAACACAGGTGTGCTTACCTTTTAAATTTGATGCATGGAGAAAACCAGTTGCCTTTATAATATGTTATTGCTCTGAATGGCCTAACTTTAAATTTTAAAGTTGTGTACCCTTGCTTCATCACAGGGAAATATCTTCTCTCTCTATATCTAGTTTGTTGAATCTTTTTACAATGTTAATACACTCAATTAAATCACGGATTGACCTTCTAAATCTAAGGAGATGCACCGTGTGATTATATAATCTGTCCTTATAAATTAATTGCTTTAAGTGTTCATAATTGTCCAATACCTCCAAAGCTGGAATAATCCTTCCTGACCTACTGTGTCCAAAACTGAACCCAGTATTCCAGATAGAGTTTGATGACCAGAAGCATAACTGAGCTACAGCGAACACTAAGTAGAACTTTCCATGAGCATGCACGAGGATTTCAGTGGTTTATGTACTTGGGCACCTTTGCTTCTTATCAATTTCCACCTTCCAATTTGTGTGTCTTTAATCCAAAGTGAATGTCCTTGCACTTCCCACTTTGAACTCCAATTGTTACAGTTTTGGCCATTCACTTAGCCTTTCCATGACAAATTCTATAGCTTCCAGTATTCATCTGCACAGTCTCCATGCCTTTTCAATTTGGGCTTAGTTGTAAATTTGCAAAAGACATCTCCCTGTCTAGGTCATCGATTCATGTGGTGCAATGTTGGGTTTTTGGATGAGATTCACAATGATGACACCATGTGTCACATTCTGCCAGTTAGAGTGCGATGCTAGTAATGTTCTTCCTAGTGAACGGTAGCTGTTGTATGCTTAAATTTTACTCCTACCACAGTTCTACGTTTGACTGAATGTGTGCTGTGGAACTGACCACAGGAAATTTTTTGACAAGGTTCTTTAGATGAGTGCAAGCCTTGATGATTAAATGCACCATCTGCAAGGGTATTGTGTTAATCAAAGAAGAAATGTGGCACATGTAGTTGCTTGACATTGAATCAGTTGAAATAGACAAAAGGGTCCTACAGTTAGATTATTCATAACTGAACTTTTTATTCATTAATGGATGTAGGTGTCACTAGCTGAGCTAGCAGTTGTCACTTAACTGCCCTCAGGGCAAATAGGGATGAGAGTCAAAAACATTGCTGTTGCTCTGGAGTCCCATGTAGGCCAGACCAGGTAAGGACAGCAAATATCTTCCCTAAAGGACATTTGTGAACCAGATAGGTTTTTCCCCCCACAATTGACAATGGTAAGACTCATCATTACTTGACTCTTATTGAATTCAAATTCCACCATCTGATATGGCTATGGCAAAGGCACGTCCCCAGAACTTCTGTCTCTGGATTACTAATCTAATAATGTGTAGGTCATTGCCGCCCCATTTAGACAAATCCATATGTGGGAAAAATCAGCAAGCACTCACATTGTTTTTTTATTGCTATTTGGTGAAGTAAACATGTTGACAAGGACAACAACTTTGTCTCGACTTGGGCCAGTGGCAGTTAACCTTCATTTTTTAGTAACACATCAGGTTCAGAGTTTGTAGCAATAATTTTGCGCTCTTTAGTATTTGTACTGGAGTGATCATTTCTGATTTTGTTTTGGGAGCTGCAAGAAAACACCATTTTTTTTGAGCATGGAAGTCTGAACCATTCATAAATGATGAAATTAACATATTCAAATGTTTGATCTTTAGTCTTCAACATGGATTTTATGCACCGTATCTTGTTAAAGGAGAAATTAGCTCGAGTTCCAGTATTCAGAGTTCCTACTGATTTCTGCAGGAAACTGAGGATTCTGATGAAGATGATGATGACGATGAAGATGATGACGATGATGATGAAGAAAAGGCCAATTCTTCAGATTCTGATGACTCCTCAGGTTCAGACAGTGATGAAGAAAGTGAGGAAGAAGATGATGCAGATGAGGTAAAATAAATTGCTTAACTTTTGCAATGTGCTTTTGAGCAGGATTGGAAAGGAACATTAATGAACATTTTCTGCCTCACTGCTTCCTCCACCTCAAAAACTTTTAATAAAACTGTTTTTGCTGGGCTGAAAGTTCCCTCCCTTGGTTTTAATGGTTCTCCTGCCTGAAATCTAAATCTATTTCCTGAACAAATAAAATGATGTTCAGAACTCAACAGGGAATAGTTATTTAATTCAGAATCAAGAGGTTGGCTGATAATATTCGGAGAGAAGACATAAATTCCATATAAGTGGAATAAGACAGGCTGGAAAGAATTTTATCTCAGTAAATATATTTGCTGGAATTTTTGAACAATAGTTTCAATAGTCTTTGCAGCATTTCTCTTAACTATTAAGAGTTGGCAGTCAAGTTTAGCCACTTTTTTAATAAGGCAGAGAACTTTACACCTAAGGTCACAATTCAAATTGGTTTGGGTTATTACTTTGTTTCATCTCTCCTTTCCATTTATGGCCTATGTAAAATATGGAAGATGTTTCCATTTCAAACTGTTTTGACCTAGGTATGTTAAAAACTTTTCAATCCAGGCTAGATGTTCTCCAGTGTCTTACTGCCTAATATGTCAATCAGACTGAAGCCATCTCACCAGTTGAGTATTTTATCAATGAATGGCTCATGTGAGGCCTTAAAATCATAAACAGCAAGAGTTGTCCATTTGGCCAGTTAAGCCTGCTCTGCCATTCAGTAAGATAATGACTGGTCCTGAGCTTCAACTCCACTTTCCCTTTCACTGCCCATTTCCCTTGACTTGTTGAATCTCAAGAGTGACAGTTAGAAAGATGACCAAAAATTCATCAATTTTAGCTGTAAATAGATTCAATGATGGAGCACCTACAACACTTCTGGGGCACAGAATTCCAAAGATTCTCACTGCTTTGAGTAAAGAAATTTTTCCTCACTCCAACATGGTCAGCCATCATCCAGCAGATGTTGCTCCATGTTCTAGATTCTTCAGTTGGTGGAAACAAGCTGTGACCCACCCTATCAGGTTCCTTCTGCATCCTGTATTTTTCATGCGATCACCACCTTATTCGCAATTCCAAAGGAATAGGTACCTAATTTACTCGGCCTGTCATCAATGGACAACTTTCTCATCCCAGAGTCTAATTAATGAATCAATATTATCTGTAGTGCGAACATATTGCTCCATCAATATGGAAACCGAAACGACACACGTTATTTGAGGTGGTCTCAATAAAGCCCTGCACAGTTGAAGTTCATTAGACACCTGTCCTGGGACAGAGATATTTTTAGACAGCAGTATCTATGACTTGAAGGTAACCTCTGCTCACCCAAAATGGGAAGGGGCTTGATAGAAAAATGCCCAAAAAATAAGCTGTCGCACTTTCTTCTGGCTGGAGAGGCTGATGCTGTGGGATCACCACCTTTTGTGGTCTAAGAGAAGAAGTTCTGAATTTTGCCGCCTAGAATGTTGGAATACAGGGCTAATCTCAAGACTGTGTCTGGGAGTAAGAACTGCAATTTCATCCTGTGGACCATCAAGATTCCCAATTGACGTCGCTGCCCCGATTGAGACCACCTTCCTGGTGCAGGCCAGCAGAAGGAGCAAGCAGCGGACAGATTTTCTATCAGCGAGGCAGCAACCCTCCAAGAAACCGTCATTACATTAATCAATCTAACTGAAGCATTTGATTTGGTAAATTGCGAGTCCCTGCGCATCAATGTCCAAATCCTGAAATAAAGGAAGCTGCTTCATCACAATCCTGCAACTGCTTTGTAATGATATGACTGCAACTGTTTTTTTTTTTATTGGAATGTTTGAAACAGGTATTCGATATCTGGACTGAGTCAAGCAAGGAGTTCCCATACTACCGATAGAATCTCAGAATCCCTGCAGTGTGGAAAGAGGCCGTTCGGTCCATCACGTTCTCACTGACCTTTCTTATCGTTGTAACCCTTCATTTACCATGGTTAATCCATCTAGCCTACGCATCCCTAGATACTACGGGGCAATCTAACATGGCCAATCCACTTAACCTATTTACAATCTACCTGACACTGGTTATTTGCCATAGACCAGGGGACAGTTGAGCTTCTGAGTATGAAATGCCACCTAGGTGGAAAACTGTTTAGTTTTGACACAGAGGTAACTGAGGTTAAAATATGCAGATCGCTGCTGTGTTGTTGCTCATTGTGCACCAGATTAGCAAGCCTGTTTCAATCTTGTCAATTCTGCATACAAGAAACTCGCTCAGTCTGTAAATGCTACCAAAACAAAACTATCAATCCAAACCTGGTATGTCTGCCTCCTGTGTAACTATCAGAAAAGACTGGAACATTTCTATATGTTCTTATGATTCAACAAATGAAAGATGTCCACAATTCGATAAACATCCTCTGTTCAGAGCAGTTGGCATCATTATCGCCACATTTATCATCACTCTGAAGAGTCCTCTAGACCCAGAATGTTAGCTTACTGTGTCTCCATGGATGCTGCCTGACCTGCTGTGATCTCCAGCATTTCGATAGTGTGGAGCTGGAGGAACACAGCAGGTCAGGCAGTATCAGAGGAGCAGGAAAGTCAACGTTTCAAGTCGACACTCTTCATCAGGACTAGTGAAGAGTGCTGACCCGAAACATCGACTTTCCTCCTCTCATACTGCCTGACCTGCTGTGTTCCTTCAGCTCCATGCTGTATCAACTCTGACTTCCAGCATCTGCAGTTCTTGCTGTTGCTAGTATTTGTTGTTTTCGGTATCATCAGCATATTCCTGTATTGCTGTTTAACCTGCACTGTTCTCGGCGAAATGGAAGAGCATGAGAGAGATTCAACCTGCAATGCCTGCATCACAATCTTCAGATTCAATGGGATTACTATCGAACAAACATGAGTGTCCTTCTTGAAGTCAGCCCCACAAACTTTCGGGCAAATCTCCGGCAAAATCAACCACGTCGGACTGAAAAGCATTTTTCCAGCATGCTCCTATTTGCTCAACTCTCAAATGACCATTTGTTCCAGGTGAGGACAAGGTAAATGCTATAAATACACGCTCTCCTTGAAGCACTGCAGCATTAACCCAAATGAGTGGGAGGAGCTTGCTGCCAATTATTTAAAATGGTGACAAGTTGTCCGTCAAGTTGCGTCGTGCTTTGAGTCCAAATACTTAAATGATAAGGCAGAACAGCAGCGTGGAAAGAAAGAAAATGGAGCAAGTCCTTCTCTCCGCTTCCCCTGTCTCAAGTTGACTTGCTGCACATGCATAAAGATCTGCAGGTCAAGAATCCTGCTACTTAAGGCCCACAGCAGTAACATGTGAACCTCAGTAAATGTATACATGAAGTAAGTGCTTGTATTTACATAGTTAACTCCTCAATCCCACTTCAACTGGCAGAAAAACCTTGATCTGGCAGGTATAATTTGTCATTTTTTTCCATAATGATCCCAGCCTGGATCTGTAAGTGATTCTGCATCTAAATGAGCTTTGTTTCAGCTAGACTTGACTTAGAAATTGCAGTAACTTTTTTATTTTTCAGTTGAAGCCCATAATCTTGCCAGGTTTCCCCTTAGTGTTCATTTTTAATGATAGAAATATGTAGTGCTGGTCACTTTCTTACCAAACATTTGCTGTGGTTTTTCTTTCTAGAATGCTGACGATGACGACGACGAGGGTGAAGATGATGAAGAAAATCAGTCTGATAGCAGCAGCAGTTCTTCATCAGAAGAGTCCTCGGACTCGGACTCTGACTGAAGTGCTCTGCTTTGATCTTCCAGGCAGTACTAAAACTATCAGCCTAAAGAGCCCTCATGCCTGCTGCCAGGACTGTTTGAGACAATTGACAGAAGCAGATGTTCTAAAATCTGATGTGATCCAGCCATCGTTGTCCAGTCAGTTCCACAGGCAAATTGACTGGGCTTTCCTGAGTTGCTTTCAACTCATTGAAAACCACTAGTGATGCAAGTAAGAATGGACCAAATGGAGAATTTGTAGGCAGTTTTCCTTTTCCACTAGAACAATCCCTGTTACAATCATTATGAAATTACTCTCCATCCATGTACTGCTGAGTGACATTCAGGGCTCAACTTTTTAAAAACCTGGCATAACAATTCCCTGGTATGGTTTGGAGTACATCTTATGTAATCAGAAATACAAGCACACAAGATCTCAAGGCATTTGTGTGTTTTGAGTGTGAATTCACTTACTGCATTTAAAGTTGGTGTTTGGGTTTATCAGGTCATTCATACTTGCATTGCAACGCTTTTGGATTTTTAATTTTTTTAACAAAAATATGGTCACTGAAGTTGGATCCTGCCTCGTTTACCTGCTACCAGTTCTGGTCCACTGTCGAGTTTGTTTCGCGTTAAAGCAGAACCGAAATATCGGGGTGGTTCGATAGCAAGTATCGAAGCCTTCAATTCTTTAGTATTTCCATAAGTGGGGTGTCCTGGTCTTTTACTTTGGGAAGGGGGGGGGGGGGGGGGGGGGGGGAGGTGCATTTCAAGGGCAAAGTGTGGGCCTGTCAGTGGGAATGGCCAGGATCAGACCCTGTGTATAAGCACAGGCTGGGCTAATTCAGTGAAGAGTATTTTGTGATGTTGCAGTTTGTAAATACGATGGATGTTTTTTGAGGGAGATTTCAGATTCACTATTTTGTGACTTAAATCTCTCCTTTGTAATATGAACAAAGTCGTTGAGTGGCCTGCACCAGAGCAAGTGCTCATTTATTTTAACAGCAGAGGATAGAAATAAGCTCCTGTGTTGCCCCATGCCCTTCAAAACTGCAAAGGAATCTGTTGTTCTTACAAGCCACATGTTTCTGGTTACTTAAAACTTTGTTTTTCTGCATGTGTAGTCTTTCCTTAATGTGTTTCCTTATGGAGGATGTGACTGCATTACTGCAGAGAAGCCCAAGTATTTTGTATCATTTTAGTCTGTCAATCTGATTTTTGAAGAGTCATAATATTGGTGGGAGTTGATCTTGATGTTCTAGATGCAGTTTAAAGCTTGCAGCAGAAACTGCAAATAGCATTTTTGTATTTTTCAAATTCTGTTTTGTCACTTCTGAATGGAATGTACATTAGCTCTCTGGTCATCAAACCAAATGCAAAGTATATTGTGAGAAGTTTTAATGAACAGTTTCATCCTCCTTTGAATTGTAGAGTTGGAAGATTGTACTGCCGGAGTCCTTTTTCACAAGAGACTGCACAGAGCTGCTGGAGTCAGGTCCTGTACATAGCTCCCTTGAGTTTGGAACACTACAGTACTGACATCTCTTTTACAGACAAGCTCAGCACTTTCTTTTGCATAACTCATTATGAGACTATGTTGTGTTTGTCATTTCTTTGCACACCAGAATTAAGGAATAATTACAAATTCAGGGATTGAAAAAGAATCTCTCTTCCCAGCATGGGAAGTGATGTGAATAAGTTTCCAAGTTCTAGCTCATTAGGAAAGAGGCAGAATCAGAATTTGAAGTCTCAACAGCTAAACCATGCCCTCTATTATTTTCTCAAAGTTGTCAACTTGTGAGACATTATCATAAAAGGAGAGGGAAAGGAGGGGAGAACCCAAAGTGACTGAGCCTTTTACTGACTGCAGCTTTGCTTAAACTCCGGATCATGATTTGAATACCTTGTCAGCTTGTGCCCAGTTTCAGAGTGGGGTGGATGTCTTTTTAAAGGGTACTGAAAGAGGCACTTTGTTGTACTTGTTGGGTTTGAATGAGGATGTATGGTATCTGTATATAATGTCGTTTGTATTTTGCAGCTTTACTTTCCATTTTATTTTGATTCTTACAGTAAGGTCAGGAGCACTGGGCGTGTGTACTGTAAGAGGTGAAATGAGTGCATTTTTGCACTCAATGTGAAATTGTGCTAGTAACCCATACGTACCATGTTACTTTTAGCTTCTGTGATCTTTTGGGAATTTTTCTAATATTTAAAGATTGTTTTGTAGAGAGAATGCCTCACTGATTTGTATTTGCTGATTCTTGTAATTTGATGTTGGAACTTCTGAAACATTTTATAGGGAAAGCGTTCCTTTTGTTCAAGTGGTTATAAGCAACCATTAAAAATATGAAAACCCGGTTGCTTTATGAATACAATTATTTAATACATAGGATAATTACATAGGATTTTGCCCATTGTAATGAAGTGTAGCAGTAAAATGCAAATATGCTTCATTTCTAACTGCCACCATTTTCCTTATGGTGGTTACTGTAAATGGAGACTGAAGTTCAAATTCCCAAAATACACTGTACAATTTCTCTTGCTGAGAATTTTTAAGGGAGAACTTAAGGAATGGGTGTCTTGTAAAGGCGGTGTTTATTTCAATTGTACATTTTACAGGGTATTTTCCAAGACAATACTGCAATACCGTGCAACACTTTCAGAGTGTAAGAACACTATCTTGAAAGATGACTATTGTTCATCAAAGAACAAAGTTGCATATGTGGGCACCTTTTTAATGGCAACATCTCAAAACAATTTACAAATTACATTGGCACTGCAATTACACTTCAAATGTAAGGAAAGGATAATGCCACTTGATATATAGCAATGTCTGCCAAAGTGCAATAAATGATTAGATGAGTGGTTTGAAACATGTTGAGGAACAAATATTGGTTATGAAACAACTCTTCGAGTAGTGCAAAGTCAACCTAAGAAGTCAGTAGACGCCTTCAACAGCTCATTTGAAAAACAGTTGTCAGTACAGATTATGTACTTGATCTCAAGTAGAACTTCAATCATGACCAACTGACTCAGACGAGTGCTACCAAGTGCCAAAGCTGACAGCTGGTAGTTCATTATATATTACAGTGCTATCCATTGAGCTGTTGCTGTTGAACTATAGTAAGATAACCCCTTTACAACCTACTGTGAGGAAGAAGGGAATCTATCCCTGTGGATAATTCAGACAGCAAAACAAAAAATCAAGGATTTAAATATGTTGAATCATTCTTCATCTGGAAAGAAACCCACATCAATGGCATCTTCCCCGCAGAGCAGAAGATTGATTTAGTGATTGGGGTTCAAAGCACGATTAATTAATAAATATCATTAAAGATGAGACATGGAGGGAAGAGAATGAAAACCGGTCATAGAGCATCATGAGTATTTCATCATTCCATGTGCTCTAATAATAGATTTGAAACAGTTGAGAATTTTTTCCCTAATTTGAAGCAGGAGTAAGCACTCTTGAGGATATAACTATATTGTCAATAAAAAAAACTCAACACAAAGTTTGACTTTAGATTCTTATTGATGGGTGAGAGATCTTAACTCTTGAACAATTTGGAAAATCAAAGGCAGGCACACTCCTCTTTTGTGTACACTCCTCTTTTGTGTGCACAAATATGGAATAGACAATAAGTTTGACTTTGATTAAATGTAGTGAAGTATAATTTAGATGCAAAGCAAATATTAATCTTATCCCTAATATGACTACTGTTTGAAGAAGTTCACAGATTTTGATTGTCTTTTGGGGTGGGATGTGAGTCTATGAATAGGAATCTGGTTTTCCTTGGTCTCCTGTTTTTATAAGCAGCTGATTTGTATTCTAGGGTATCATCTTTGCTTGTGACAGCTTTTAGGGTGAGTTTTGAACCCATTCTATTACAACTGAGTGGAAATATCTGGTCTTGGCTCCAATTCCAATTTTATCTATTTAAACTACAAAGTCATCATCAAGCATTGCAGACTGGTGAAAGCAGCAAAGAGTTGAACTTTCATTGCACTGGGAATTAACACTTAGATCACATTTGTGATATTCCACAAAATGGGCTGGAATTCTGAAAAGATTATTGCCTTTTTGCTATGATTAGAAAGACTTAAATTTAAAATGAGGTCTGATGAGTTACTAGATAAGTTAACTCTCTACTTTCTCCCCCTAGAGTTGCCAGTCCTCAGTTTCATCACCAATTTGTTTTTGTTTCTATTTTGTAGCATCTGCCATTCTTTGTTTATTTATTAAATTGCAGATCAGATTTGTAAAGCTTAGAAGATTGAGGGGGTGGGCTCCATTATCTGAAATGTAAAAGGATTTGATGGAGCAAGAAAACCTCCCTCCAGGAGGGAAACCAAAAATAAGATGGTATTAGAGTCTTGGATTCCAGAGGGAGATCAGCTAGCACTTATACAGTGGACTAGTAGAAATATTGAATTTTGTTTTCCCTTTAAAGGTTGAGGATATTGCAACAATTAGCTTTTGATTTTTGTTAGGTAAGATTATTGAAATAGGATGTTTGGGGGCTATAGGTTATTGAAATATGAAGATAAGGAGAACATCTACTATTTCATGGAATGGTGAAGCAGAAGTGAGAGCTGTTACTATAACTGCATGCACTTAAGAGTCAGACACACAGAAACAGACCCTTTTGGTCCAACTCATCTGTACTAACCTAGTCCCATTTGCTAGCATTTGGTCCGTATTCCTCTAAACCCTTCCTACTCATATACCTATCTAGATGCCTTTTAAATGTTGTAATTGTATCAGCCTCTACTTCCTCTGGCAGCTCTTTCCATACATGTACCACCTTCTGTGTGGAAAAAATTACTCCTAACATCCTTTTTTAAAATCTTTCCCCTGTCACCTTAAATCGGTGTCCTCTAGTTTTTGGACTCCCTTAGCTGAGGGAAAAAGATTTAGGTTATTCACTCTATCCGTACCCCTCATGATTTTACGAACCTCTATAAGGTCACTCCTCAAGCCCTGCTACACGAGCTGGGAAAAGGCCCTAGTCTCTTTAGCCGTTCCTTTAATTAAAACCCTCCAAGTCCCTGCACCATCCTTGTAAATTTTGTCTGCACCCTCAAAATTTACACTCCGGGAAAGATTTGGATTTTTCTCTGCAGTTTGCTAAGTAGGCCACCACAGTACGTCAAACAAATATAATCTTATATTAAATCAGTTGACAAACTCCAAAATCCGTGAGCCATTTGAGTGACAACTTTTCTTTATAAAACGCTAAAAATCAGCCCGAAGTGCCTCTAGCTATTGTTCCTATTCCCTTTATTATTGGAAAGACAGTTAATTTAAGGGGGCTGGTTCTAATGAGTTACTCGATACGTTAACTCTGCTTTCTCCACATAGCGCTGCTGGTTCAGCTCAGTTTCGCAAGCAAATTGTTTTTGTTTCTGTTCTCCACCATCCGCACTTCTTTGTTTTAAATTACATCGCAAATCGGTTGCATACAGCTCCTCAGAATGAGGGGGTGCGCTCCATTATCTGAAATGTAAAAGGATTTGATGTCATAGGAAACTATCCGCAACCAGGAGGGAAACTGAGAATGACAGGATATCAGCGTCTAGGATGCCGGACGGCGATCAAGCAGCACTGCTCCAGTAGTGTAGTAGAAATTTCGCTTTTCCAGCCAAATTCACGCATTTGAGTAATCTGAAACCAAGCAAATAAGAGCTTAGTATCTTCACATCACAGTCACTTTTAATATTAGTTTCGATTTGCCTTCTTTATTACTCGGGATAACAGGTCTGCAGCCAGGTACTGTATCTTTAAGGTCTTCCAGTTGAGCCCATTCTTTACAGACTAGTACTGTTA